ATCGACTTATTAGCCGGCCTTCTTCGTAAACCGAGCACGAATTGTTCACGTGCCTTGGACAAACAAAAAGAATTTGACCCCAGTTACTGTCATCACGTGAACACAGCTAGACAACTAAAATAAATAATTTCTCAGAGATAGTTAAAAGCTGAAAGTGAATTATCAATATGTTTAAGATCAATAAATTAGTGTTTTGGAAAATCTGCAAAATTATTTTGATGGATAACTTTCTAAGTACTGAAATTTAGATAATTTATTTAATAATATACTAAGGTACCTTAGTGAAAAAACAAAAACCAATCTTATGTAACAGCTGACAAGTTAAAGGACACATCCTTGACATTTTTGTCACTTGTTAATCAGTTTGTTATATTGTGTTTTAGTACTATCAAATAATAAATATATATATATTTTTTGTATTAGGCCATTTCTGAGTTGCCTTTTGCCCCTGTGTCAAAACAAGCGTTAGTATGAAACAATTCATGTCAAAATGTGTTCCGCCCAGAGAAATCAAACTCGTGTTATATTATGTATGAGATGTTTTGCACAAGGACTTGTTTTGAAACAAAGGCACAAGGTAACTCGGAAATGGCTTATTTCTAAGAACTGGCGTTGTTTGAGCAAGAGAATTTGTCGTTTTTCCATGTAATATATAGAGCACTGTTACAAGTGAATAAAAGTTATATTGTGTGTGAAATGAAAATTACCTGATATAACTCCCTTCCAGGGTGGGCAGGGCTCAAAGTTAACGACCGAATGGTCGCATTTGCGACTAGATTTTTGGCTGTGCACCTGAAAAATCATGTGTGGTCGCACCACCGCACCTTAAAAGCCAAAGTACAGTGTGACTTCTCTAGTGCTTACTCACCTGACCATACTAACATACTCTGATTGATAAATATAAATATAAACATAGATATAACACAACCAGGCACCAGATAATAAAGTTGCACCATTTTCCTTTCATTGGTGTATGTTCTATTCGTTGTCTTTAAACGTAATTTCCCAGTGGATTCTCCGAACTCGAACATTCATTTCTTCCCCATGTTCTGTGTTGTAAACAACTCCGCTGACACATGCAAATGAAGGAATGAAGCATGTGCTTCTTGGTCGCCAAATGGGGGACATAGTGCCAGGCGGTCCCAGTGGAAAGCATGGAAACTGGGGATGAGATTAAATTGTGTGCTCATTCTTCGGGAAAAACAGTTACAGAAAGCTTTGTTTTCACTTGTCTGACATACAAATCTGTTCAGCGTTTTCGGAACGGGCCGGTCCACGAATTCTATGGCTTGAAAGCTAGCCAAATGTGCAAAGTTCTTGCTAGTTCTCACAAATACCCAGGGCTAGATATTGAAAAAATCAAGAATCTTCGTGAACAGAATTTGAAAGGTGAGGTAAACAACAAGCAACTGGATAGTGAGGATACTCAATGAAGTGATTTCAGAAGTTAATAACTGAGCTTAACCCTTGTGTGAAATATCCTGATTCTGTTATTTGTTTTTGTTGTGTTCAATACTACTAGAATAGGCCCAGTTTGCAACACAAAGCCTGACTCGCTCTTTTTGGAGTGTTAAGTATTCTTTTGGAGTAGGTGCTCCAAGTATTTGAAGCTGTGCGCCTAAAATTTTTAACTCTGCGCCTAACATTTTGGCAGTGCGCGTAAAAATTTACAGCTGGTCGCACAAGTGCTCCCAAAGCCAAAAATAAACTTTTGAGCCCTGGTGGGTTAATCTTCATAATTTTTCAAGAAAATTAAGCTTGCAGGTAATTCTAACCCCGGAAGAACTTTTTGTATATCACTGATTACCTTGGAGAATGGATCATTTAAAATTTTGCTGAGAAATTTATAGTGTCATGGGACAGGTCACACAGATGTTTACTGTGATTATTACTGATTGTCATTTAGGACTACAAGAGCAATGGGAGGAGGTATACCATTCAGAACGGCACTCAGAGAGAGACTGAGCATCATTAATGTGTCAGAGGAAAAGGTACATGGGATAATGCTTGTTTGTTTTGTTGCTCGGTGTCTAAAGCACATGGTGATTGTATTGTTGAAATTGCTGAGTTCAGAGAATTGAGATTAGACTATTATATTTAACCTCACATGTAGTTTAACTTTTCCAGCAGTCCTAATGTCAAGTACGTGTAACTTAACAAGTTAGATGGATTTTTCATCAGTTGTGCAGAGATAATCTTGTTCAATATTCCTTACTCGTCAGATTCTAGCAGACTTAATTTCTCTTGGTGTTATTATTGGTCATAATTTTATAGTTGTCATAATTTCAGTACCTTTTTGCTTATAGATCATTTTCATTCATGCGAAAAGCTGCCATATTGGATTATTGAAACAAAAGAAAATGTTTGCATGAAAATAAAGTTCAATTCCTGGAGGATTGGCTTGTTTCACCAAGATGGCAGCTGTTTCTTTGTTCTAGCAGACCAATATGGCTTCTGTGACGTAATGTGGAAACAATCTAGTATTATTTTGACTCACACACTTAATTCTGTTCATTATTATCATAATCTAAAAAACCTATTTCTTTCAGCTTCACAGTTTTATAGAGAGGACTCCTCTTCGTCTCACACCAGGAATAAGGTAAGTTTTTGACAAGTTTGACTGCCATCAGTTTCTGTGTCATTGTATAAATTTACAGTAAGTATAAAATAAGTTAATTTATTTTGTCTCATGAGCTCCTCTACTTGTATGACATCTGATGACATCAGATGTCATACGATCTGATCTGATGACATGCCATGACATCTGATGTCATGACATCTTCCCTCCCTTTCATTGTGTTCTGACTTGTTTATTGGAAATATATTTTAAATTTGCAATTACTTACTATAGTTAATTTTTGTTAATAGTATTGTAATGCACAACAAGTTTTGTATGTTTTTGTGTTNGAAAGGTCGACTTATACACGGGTAAATACGGTACATGGAATTGTAACTCTTTCTTTAATTTGTTTTGTACTATCACCAAAAAATTGATTACTTGGTTAAATGTGTAATTTTCTTTACACATACACTGTAGCAGTTATGTCAGGTACCCAGTGAATCTTAATTAAGTGAGAAGGCATCTTACTTTACGACTGACTGACTGACTGATTGACTGAATGACTTACGGAATGATCAATTCATTGATTTTTAAATTTTGATTGATTGACTGGTCAGGATTGATTATAACTATATGCAGATTGATTGATAAGATCATTTGATTAATTAATTGATTGATTGATTGATTGATCGATTGATCCACTGTAGGGAACTAGTAAAAAGGCTTCATGAACAAGGCACTGCAGTTTACCTTATATCAGGTGGATTTAAAAGAATCATTGAACGTGCTGCAGAGCAACTCAATATACCCAATGAAAACATCTTTGCAAACAGGCTGTTGTTTGATGATGAAGGTACTGCTTTACACAAAGTTCATTCTGTGACATTTCTTTGAATTTATTCTGTGTCCAGGTTGTCCAAACTGTATTTAACTGTTTTTTCAAAAATGAAGTTTTGTTACCTCAGGTGGATCAAAATTATTAACTTTTTTTGATGCTTTTATCATTTCAATTCCTTCCCCAATACATTTCCTAAAAAAACATTTTTAAATTTTTAATGTAACAGGTCATTTTGCCGGTTTTGATGAAAGCGAGCCTACTTCTGATTCTGGCGGAAAGACAAGAGTCGTGAAGCTTTTGAAAGCAAAGTATGGATACAAAAGGTGAGACCAGTGAATTAAATTTATTGTAAACCCAGGGAGAGGTCTTTCTATATCATGATCAATCCCATAAAATTGGAGAAGCCATGCAGAAAGCTTATTGACACTGCAGGTGCTCAACTCTGTTTTCAAAGAGTCTCCCAATGGATGGGGTCTAGTCCATCGCTGGACCTGAGCCAGGATCTCATCACACACCCTCTCAGTATAGGGTCTAAAACACTTCATGTAGTTGACCCTTTGGTCTTTGAACCGACCCTCAGGACAGTGATGGGAAATTTTTCCTTTACACCTTATATTCATGATTTTTTGTCCAATATTTTAAAAATGCATTCAGATTTTTTTGGGTTTAAAGTGGCATGTGAAATAAGGAACACTTGTCTCAAAAAATTGTAGGTGTCTTCAGGATACCCATCTGGCTAAAAGCCTTGGGATATTATCCAATTGAAAAGCCCATAAACATGATATACCCCCGAGAAATAGTGAATTAAGTATGATTTTTCGCTTGTTTTAGGTTGGTCATGATTGGAGATGGAGCTACAGACTTGGAGACATACCCCACTGCAGTGAGTATTGCCTGTTGATACTTTTTTTTTATAGTAGCTTCTGCTGGTTAGAGTCATTTACTGATGTCTTGTAAACTGTAGCAGCCTGATCTTGCCACTGACAAGTTAGTGCGATTAACTCAATGAATTCCAGAGCTAAATTTAAAGTGCCACTATGATCAAATTCTCCATACCCATTTTTTTGCATTTTTGCACACAATAGGTCTTTCCTAGCTTTTTTGCCAAATTTCAGTCTATTACAAACATTAGAACTCATGTTGTTTGGACCTTAATTTCCGAGAATTTACGGCCGCCATTAATTTTCCTTGTTCCAAGTCTTGGTTGAGAATTTGAGAAAATGACGTCATTTTCTCAAAAATACCACTTGGGTTGAAATTATAATAACAATTAGCACAGCAATTCGCATAAAGAGTAACAAAAACTTTGACTCATATATTCGTGCAATATTTTACATTAATTGTTATCATAATTTCATCCTGTGCTGTATTTGTGAGAAAATGACATCATTTTCTCACATTTTCAACCAAGACTTGGAACAAGGAAAATTAATGGCGGCCGTAAATTCTCGGAAATTAAGGTCCAAAAACCATGAGTTTTAATGTTCGTAAAAAATTGAAATTTGGCAAGATATCTAGGAAAGACCTAATGTGTACGAAAATGTAAAGAAATGGATATCGATAATTTCATCATAGTGGCACTTTAAAGTGGTATAGCTAATGCCAGGCCTTTGTAAGTCCCCCACAGGCTACCCCAAGTCAACAAATGTCAAAGGTTTAAATGAATTATTTTAAAATTTGTTTGATGAGCAAGTCACCTACCTATAGATCGCAGAATTCACCCACAAAGTAGCAAGTTTGCTATGGATGAGGAGAACAAGGCTACAGGTGACTCAAAACTTAATGACAGCGCTGAGTAAGTAAGAAAAAAAATTAAGCTCATGTGCCTTTTATAATTTCCAGGACACCTTTATTGGCTTTGGAGGAAATGTTGTCCGGGAAAAGGTGAAATTGCAGGCTCCGTGGTTTGTGACTGATTTTAGAGAGCTCCTACAAGAGCTTCAAACTTCTCAAAATGGAGTGATTTCCAAAGAAACTGAACTTCTTAACGGAGTAAATGGCAAAGAATCTGAACAGCTACTTAATCATGTTAATGGAGTGAACGGAAAAACAAAGCATCAAAATGGAACTATATATTGAACATCTTCATATTATTTCATATGAATTTTAGCAAGTGGATCTTGTTAAGTTATTTAATTTATGCATACAATTCCTTTAAAGCAGACATTTTACCCAGATTTTATATCTGACTTGAATATTTATTACCAATGAAAACTAGAAGTATTTCTGTCTGGTTCTATTGTATTGATCTGACGTCAACATATCAGACAAAAATATTGCAATGTTTTTACCGAAGTGTTTCAGCAAACCTTTAGTTGCATCTTGTCAGAGGGTTTTAAATTTCCTTAGTTAGGATATGAAAGAACTTTTAACATTTGAGTTACAACAGTTTTAATCCATGGTTATTCAAAGTTTATTGGGTGTCTGATTATAATTGTTTAATTGATGAAAATAATTATTAACTTATTTTGTGACCAGATGTTGGTTCTGGCTGGTATAATAGTTGTATCTTGGTGGTACAGAGAACTCTGAAAAACCTGCTATATTATTCTAGGGTCATATCAATCAGAGTTCTACTGTATCTAATCAATAACTGTAATTACAGCTTAAATCATATTAATATTATCTTTGAATTATTGCTACAACACATGCATAAATGAGGATAATTTGAAAGAAATCATGATGAATCACAATGAATTATTTCTACTTCCGTGTGTACTTCTTAAATGTTTTGATAACCGTGTAATTTCACCTTGAGATGTTTGTGGTAAAGTATACTTTTTCTATATAATTTTGTTGTGTCAATTTTTCCTCTCTCCAATCTTGGTGCCTTAGAACAGGAGCATCTTACACGTAAGTGACCAAAGGTACCCGGTCATAATTTTACATAATGGCCATAGCAACTACAGTCGAACCCCTATTAAGCGGCCAACTCTTAATATTAGGCGGCCAGTAATCAAAGTCCCGATGAGGGTTTTTCTATTGTTTTTACCTCTATTAAGCGACCAGCCCCTTTAAAGAGGGGCCACTATCAATTTTCTCGAGGGTGGCCGTTTAATAATCATTCATTCATTCTGTTTGAATTGAAGACAACTTCTTTTTGTATTATATTGGGGAAAATTGCACCAATATAGGATCAAAGTCCCAAGCATCCGGATGTCCCATGGGCCTTTTCCAACCTGATGTACTCCACTTAAATACCGGCTGCTGATCATGCGTAGGACCGCTGACTGCAATACATGACAGCGCACTGTTGAACAGGTCAGAGCTGGTGACCTGTGGTGAAGACGTCTTTGATTAGTATCCTGTTGCAATGCAAACAGTTGGAAAACTGTACCTGACTTCAATATCTTCAAGGGTTTTTTTTTTTTTTAAATAATTGGGGGAACAGGAGCTTAGTCACAATATTTTGAGTTCTATTTGCCGTGGCCAGAATTACCTTAAATTAAAGGAAACCTGAAAATTTTAGTAAGCTAAAATGGAAAATCGCCGAAGAGATAATAAATATGGGTTATTGAC